CGGCCATCTGATCTTCAGTATAGAGCGAAGACAGTTGTTGTTGATGAAGGTCTGCAACAAGCTGTTGGAAATATTCTTTGTGACCCGCCAAGTTTCTGACCCGTACGTATAGAAGAACTGACTGACTTGATGTTTGTATTGAAAATCCGAATTTTGTTGTTGATGGTGAGAATATATATATTTAATACTCTCATTGTTCCGTTGGGTTCCAAGGGGGGAAACAGCGGTACGTCCTCACTTTATTGCATTTTCTGCGGTTCTCTTTGGCCTGGCCTAAGTTTACTCATAGTCTCTCATGTCCTCCTCCATGTCATCATTGGACTCTCAATCTGTCGTTTCTAATTCGCGTTCCACTCGAGCAACGGAATGACACGCGATGTCACTCAGTATTCTCCTCAGCATATGTTATATCCACCTCTACTTTTTTTACGGAATTTTAGTTGAGAAATAATTTCTTGGTTAGTTTGTTCGCAGAGTTTCTTGTTGATTCTTCCTGGATATCTGATATATGATATGAAGCCAGCTAAGTGAGCCACTGTGTCGGTCGAAGAATTGACAGAATTAATATTCGTGTTGAAAATCCATAACTTGTTCTTTATTTTGTGTTTGGAAGATTTCCAGTCTGATTTCACACTGATGAAGGTGTATCTCTCCGATTCTGGTTTTAACATCTTTATCCGTTCTACCTGTACTTGAGATGATGCTTCTTAGATAAGTGAAGTTAGTGGCCCCTTTAAAGTTTCTCCCGTAGATAGTGATTGATGCTGTTTGTTGTCGCTTTTGGTTGGCTGAATATCACTTGGAGTCCTGTCTTCGCTGCTTGACTCTTCCTCCGGTTTGTTCATTTTCGCCTACAATTCTTCCAGCTTCTGTGACATTAGACATAAATCATCCACACCCGGAACGCAGATCATATACACGCTGTCCTTATGGGGCCAAATTATTCCTGTCTTCTCACTCTCCATGAAAATGAACAGTCTGACGCATAATCCAGTTTACCACAATTAAAAATATCATTGATGGTAACAGGCTGGCAGGTAGCTTGTTTTGCTCCTGTATTCACTTCTACCACTTCACTGAGTTTTCCGTTGAGGACCAACTGACACGTGCCTAGTCATGCAGCTGTTGATTGAGTTTGATAGTTAGTCACATATACACATGTATAACCTTAAATGTGTTAGTCGAGTAATGAAGTTTGAAAGCAAAGTAACACGACAACTTTTTGAACTTTAATGTATTTCTCCCGTGATATTTATTATATGTGAAATAATCGATGGGGATGTAGTCTTACAGAACAGCGTAAATCATCTGCACCAAGTTAAGCCTCTTCGCTGCCTTAACGTGGATGGCGAGATTGTCCCTCCCACAAAAAATGAAAAAGCAAATATAAGCATCTGACACTTACAGATGGATTAGTTGGTGGATAGATATGTTTACCTCAGGAGGCTAGGAAGTCCTGACTCTAAAACTACGGTGTACACGGGTTCTAGAATGTGAACTGATCGAATGGCATATGTGAATTTGTTTTAGTCAAAGGCGGTCACGCAGACGCAACTTCTGAAGTTCCTCCACTGTCTTATAGACCAGAATTCAGATGTGGTCCTACATGCTTGAATCTAGGAGTTCATTCAGTATCTTGTAGTGTACATTGAGCATTAGGCAGAGTAAAACTAAGTTCATAAAGCGGTGAATAAGTTTTTGTAAGAGTGGCTAATTTAGGTCTAAGTTAAGCCAATTCTAAACTCTTACAAGTGGTGAGCCCGTGTTTTTACCGTTTGCCTACATAGTAGCTTAACGTGTAAATAGTCCTTTTTCATATTGACAATTTGTTTTTCACACAGAGTTATAAAGTTTTACTTGCCTTGTTTTTACTCATATTTTTTGTTATCGTATTTGTTGTTGTCATTCTATTAATATATCGTCTTGTCCGCAAGATGGCCAACAACAGTTCCGCCTCACAAATAGCGATCACCTTGCAACTCCCTACCTTCTGGACACATCGTCCTGTTGCATGGTTCGTCCACATCGAAGCTATGTTCGCCCACCGACATATACACTCACAAGAGACAAAGGTGAAACTGGTTATCGTGAGTCTTCCTGAGAACGTCATGGAAAAAGTATCTGATATCCTCGCGGACCCATCCCCTGACTTGTATGAGCGTCTCAAGTAAGCGCTAATTAAGCGCGTTGCATTTACCAACCAACAGAAAGTGCAGAAACTTTTCAGAGATGTTCAGCTGTATGATAGAAAGCCCACTCAACTGTTACGTCAGATGAGACAGTTAGTGGCTGACTTCAAAACAGATGTGGTTACAACAATTGCCACAGGCGATTCAGACCATTTTAGCTTCAATCAACCATTCCCCCTTATCCGAACTACCTGAGGCAGCCGATAGAGTAGTGGAGACTACTACATCCAAAATGAACATTTCGGCTGCCGTAATCGCTATTCCCACTCAGACTAAGGACTCCTCTGCCGAGAGGTCATCAAACTTACATGTGGCGGCCCACATAACTAAGCTTTATGAGGAGATATGTAAGATAAGACTCGAGATGAGACCTAGAGGTCACTCGAATAGCCGCACAAACTCGACTCGTAGTAGATCTTCTTCACGAGCTGTTTTCCTACCAACCTTCTAACGGGGAGGATAACCTGTAGTGTACATTGAACCTTCGAACTTTTGTTTGAACGGACTCACCTGACCTTTAGCACCACTTCCTCTTTCGATTCGTGAATCTCCTGTACGGTTTCGGTTTCGCTCTCTTGCTGTGCTTTCATCCAACACACTCTTCGAACTTACCACCGTCTCGACTGCGGATAAGTGTATACCCTCTTATTCTTTATCAAATCTTATATCGCTTTTGTGTAAATATAACTCTGTTCCAGTCACGCTAGTCATCTCAAGTCTTTTTACCTTGATTCAATTCGTTAGTATTTGCACATTAGGCAGAGTACAACGGTGAAGAAGTTTTTGTAAGAGTGCCTAATTTAGGTCTAAGTTAAGTCAAGTCTAATTCTTACAATCTCAATAATAATAATAATATAAGTATTAATACGTTCATTCTGAACAATATTCATATAATGTATAGAATTTTCAGCGGAGTTTATTGCACGATTGGTTCTCTTCGTCCAATATCTTACAATTAAAGATTTGACTGACAGTAAAGATCGTGTAACACAGTCCCGTCTGATCAGAAGCGCAAACTAATCCATCATTGTAATACACGACACTTTGGTTGAATGCCAGTTATAAAAAATCAGGAGTACATTTTGGGAACCAAGAATACCACTTAAACAAAGGTCATCTCAAGTACTGGGATAAGCTACAAATGAGGATAATGCTTTTTTCCACATACAACAGAAACTAGCAGAATCACAGGATATAAGTGTTTCAAACATTCGCCAAAGTAAACGACACTATCAGAGGTCATATTTTACTAGATTAAAACAAACTGAGTAAGAGAAACTATATGCAGTATATTGATGGAAGTTCTTCGGTAGCTCACATTCTAAGGAAACGGTGCAAGCCATGAGAGACTATGTGTGACGGATACCTTGGTATCCATAATGTACACCGAATGTTTGTTTCATCAAATCAATAAAATGTCCAGTTTAATCACTGATTGATGTCAGTTAAAGGACCTTCGAAGTGAGGATTGGAGTAAGACAAGCTGGCTGCCTACTATCGCCAATGATTTTCCTGATTGCAGTAGACTGGATAATGCGACAAACAGTGGGAATGAGGAAACAGGCATAAAATGAACTCACACAAAATACTTGGAGGATCTCGAATTCGCCTATGATACATGTCTGATTTCCCACAAACTGGAAGATATGCAAGCGAAAAGCAACAAGTTGGCAGAAGAAGCATCCAGAGAAAATAGGATTTCAGGTGAACATAGAGAAAACAGAGGTGATGAAGATTCCCGGGCAACACCACCAACAGTAACAGACAACAACAGACAACAATCAACATAAATGGGAGGAACCTGAAAGAAACAACCTCTTTTACCTACCTGGGAAGCATCGTTTCAACTACAGGATATCAAATCAAGAATTGGAGAAGCAAGACAAGCTTTCACCACTCTCAAGTCCGTGTAGAGATCAACACTCGGCACTCAGCATCAAAAATAAGATCCAGATTTTCAACTCCAATGTGAAGTCAGTCAGTGCTACTTACCGCACGCATCAGAGACTTGGCGCGTCATAAAGAGCATCTCAAACAAACTACAGAACTTCATTAACAGTTGTCCTCGCTCAATACACAAGATCAGATGGCTGGCCAGAGAAGATCACGCAAGGGGATCTCTGGGAGCGAACCAACACACCAGGAACCGATTGTGAAAGAAATATGCAGGAAGAAATGGAGATGGATTGGCTGGCCATACTCTGAGGAAACCATCAAGTGACATCACTAGGCAAGACATTGCTCAAGTGGAATTCGAAAGGGAAGCGGCGAGTTGGTCGTCAGTGCAAGGGTGACTTGGAGGAGATCATGTGAAGAGGAGATGAAAGTGTGTGGACAGACATGGAGCCAGGTGAAGACTCTAGCAGAGAACCGAACGCAATGGAGACGCACGGCTGACACCCTATGTTCCTCTAGGAATTAAAGGATACACTAATAATAAATAATAATAAAGGACCATTGAATAACGGCAGTGAGTACTGGACAGCTGTTTTGCCAACGTTAGTAGAAGATGGAATCGAAAGGTCACTGAACTACGTGGCCACAGTGAATGAATGATCTACAGGGTTGCTTTGCAACCGTAACGACCTGGATTCGAACACCACTGGATGCGTACTGCTGAGGAGCCTCATCCTAGAATCAACATGCTATCCAGCACTCCCTCGCTCCCTAACCGACATCAATCCTCAGTCAAACTTAAAAATAAATAATGACCTCAAATGCATAGAATAAAAGTTTGTTCATGAATTATAATCACAAACAGAACATGCATCCCATTTGAAATTCTACAAAAAGCACTGCCAAAAATCTTACCAAAATCTTTATTTAATTCCCCGTGCTTTCTTTCTTCCTGATCAGTAAAAAAGTTTCTTTTTAACTTTTTGCTTGGTGAAGATTATTAAAACCAAGAAATACTCCGATCAAGGTGTTTTCCTTTTTTTAAGTTAGAGTCTCTTTTACTTTGCGCGCGCTCTCTCTCTCTTTCTCTGCTATTCTATTTTATGATATTTTGAATAATGAAATGACCTTAAGAAGGTTAGGGGAAATCCATTTTCATTTTCGATCAATAATTGATGCTTATTGGTTAAATGTTTGTATAGTAAGTATTATTATGAGGTTTATTCTTATTCTTATGCTTATTATGTTATTCATATGAAGAGATAGAGAAAGACATAAGGAAGGAAGGAAGACATCAGCAATAGCCTTCAAGGTTTGTTTTCTTCTTCTCCTCAAAAAACTCCACTTTTTTTCTTGAGCATTTCTTGATCAAGTGAATGATTGACTCGGAGTGAACTAGTTCCTTTTACTTTTTCTTTCTTTAAAGGCGAAATATTTCTTTATTTATAGATAGATGTATGCTCACGTGCGTCTATGAGTGTGTGAGTGAGTTTGTGATTGAAAAAAACTTTGAGGAATGGTATGGAAAAAAAGGAAACGAAACAAACTTAATTTGTTCCATGCATAAAGAACATAGAAGGCAACTGTTGATTGACATAAAAGAGGGTGAGGGCAAAGAATCGAAGTTCTAAAGATAGTGATGATGAAGACAAAGTGGATTTTAGTGAATGTTTCATTGACAAACAAAATGAACTTGAGCAAAAAGATGAATGTGCTCAATTTTCTAGCCATTTTATGAAGCTTTCTTAATTTTTTCGTTTTTTTTATAGAGAATTAGAAGGGAATTTTTTATGTTTTATGCTTAGGTTTAATCCAGTTATGGGATGGATTAACTTTGTTTCTAGGCTGGAAAATATTTGTGAACGTTCTCAAGGAAAACGTATTCATTAGAGAACCATCGAATGTCAGGGAGTACTGAATAGAAGTGCTAAGCTGTGAATTCATCAGGTGGTTCGAGTTATCAGTAGAGAATGTTATCGTTTAACTGTAGGAGAGAAGTTTCGGAGTTCTTGCAGGAATTTGTAATGCATGAGGTTTACCAAGGAGGATATGAGAATTATTATTATAATTGTTTCCTTTAATTCCGAGGGGAACATAGGGCTTCAGCCGCGCGTCTCCATTGAGTTCGATTCTCTGCTAGAGTCTTCACCTGACTCCAAGTCTGCCCACACATTTTAATCTCCTCTTCACATGACCTCCTCCAAGTCACCCTCGCACTGACGACCAACTCGCCGCTTCTTTTTCGGGTTCCACTCGAGCAATGGCTTGTCTAGTGATGTCACTTGATGGTTTCCTGAGAGTATTGCTAGCCAATCCATCTCCATTTCTTCCTGCCTATTTGTTTCACAATCGGTTCCTGCTAGGTTGGTTCGCTCCCAGAGATCTCTGTTGCTGATCTTTTCTGGCCGGCCGTCTGATCTTGAGTATTGAGCGAAGACAACTGTTAATGAAGGTCTGTATTTTGTTTGAGCTGCTCTTTATGACATGTCAAGTCTCTGATCCGTATAGTGAGTACCACTGACTTCACATTGGAGTTGAAAATCCGGATCTCGTTTTCGATGCTGAGTGTTGTTGACCTCCACACAGACTTGAGAGTAGTGAAAGCTTGTCTTGCTTTTCCGATTCTAGCTTTGATATCCTCGTCAGTTCCGTTCGCCTGTAGTTGAAACGATGCTTCCCAGGTAGGGTAAAGAGGTTGTTTCTTTCAGGTTCCTCCCATTTATGCTGACCGTTGTCTGTTGTTGTTGTTGTTCTTGTCCAGGAATCTTCATTACCTTCGCTTTCTTTATGTTCACCTGAAGTCCTATCTTTGATGCTTCTTCTGCTAACTTGTTGCTTTTCGCTTGAATATCTTCCACTTTGTGGGAAATGAGAATACGTCATCATTATTACTATTATTATTATTATATCATTATTATTTCCTTGAGTTCCGAGTGCAAAATAGGGCTTCAACAACACATCTCCACTTTGTCCTCTCTTGTGTCATCCCCTTCAGCTGGGTCAACGATCGCCCAAACTCTATCATCTCTTCCTCACATGATCTCCTCCATGTCACCCTCTAAGTGACTACCTCTCCCATCACTTCCCATTTGGATTTCATGTCAATCGATGGCCTACATTGTGTGCGATATCATTTTACGGTTTCCTCAAGGTATGCCCAATCCATCTCCATTTTCTCCTACATATTTGTTGAGAAATCGGCTCTCCAGTGTTGGTTCGCTCCATTGCATAGTTTCTTCTTGCTAATTTTGTTTTTGGTAGGCCATTCATTCGATCTTCACTGTGGAGCCATCGAAGATGGCAGCTGTTGATGAAAGTCTGCAACAGGCTGTTGGAAATCGTTTTCGTGACCCCCACTGTGTAAGTTTCTGACTCGTATAGAAGGACCGACTTGACATTAGTGTTGAAAATCCGAATCTTGCTTCTTATGTTGAGTGCAGAAGATTTTCAAATTGGTTTCAGGCTGATGAATCCATGATCATTTGACGAAATTAACTGGCGATGATGCTATTTCGCCGAATTCACGGAATTCAGGGATGTCGGATTAATTGTGGATTACAATCTAGGTGGTCGTCATTATCATAGTAATAACAAGGATAAATGCATTCAACTTTTTTCTATAATCTAGGTAATGGTTAGTGCATAGGTAGAATGGGTATACTATTAGGACAGGTAGAGGGGAAAATAACTATTGTCACATAGTGATTAGATAATAATAATAATGATTTACTTTATTCCAAAAACAGTACTTGTGATACAGAATGAGATTTTCAGCATTAATCACAATATCTTGCATCTAATTTCCTCAAATTATAAATAAAATTAATCACACAGAAATTTTTTCTACATTTACAATAGGGTTAATATTAAAGAAAATAAAAAACATGCAGCATATAAAATGGAAATAATTATAATGATGGTAGCAGCTAAGGTAATAATAATAATAATACAAGTGAAAATGGCCATGGGCTTGTTTCACACAGTATTGTCGATGCGGTATACAAATCTTTGCATGATTAAAAATAATGAATATAATGTTCTCTTTACATGATATAGTGAGGGAAAAAACAAAGATTACAGCAGTCATAGAGATAAGTTGGTGTTTGCAATTATAAGAGTAAAACAAAGAAGCAATAGGACCATAAATATAATAGAAATAATCAAAGTAAAACTTGAAAGTATATAAGGATGGATGGAGGACATTGTTTATTTACTAGATGAAAAAAGGTTAGTTAATTCTTGCCTGACGCTATTTTCATCACATAAAATACGTGCCAAGTATGGTATCATAGAATTTTGATACTAAGACGTGCGAGCATACAGTTTTCTTAAGTTACTTCTTGTTCTACCTGAGTAGATGCAAGGTGAAAAAAGAAGTAACTTCAGGAAACTGTATGCTCTCACGTCTAAGTATAAAAATTCTATGATACCATACTTGGTATCATAATATAATAATAAAAAAATGTGAAGCCACGATCGAAGTATACAGGTACAGCACAGCGTGATATTAATAATGCAGTTAGCATTACAAATAAGGTTAAATAATGAGATAATATTTACGGTTACCCGGTGACACTACGAGAGATAATTATTTTAAGTAAGGTTCAACCAGTCACCTGTGACGATGGATTTCCCACCGACGATATTTGTTGGTGCAAGTCGCTCTAAATCACGATTTGTTAGAAGTTAGAATTCATAAAAAGGCCATTGAATCGAGTCCTAGTGGCTGAATGGCATATGAGCTTTCCTTGTAACCGGAAAGTCTTGGGTTCGAACCCTGGTTATGGGTGTGTACTGCTGATGATTCTCAAGCTAGCGTTTTTAATGGTTCTCTAACTGATATCAATGCGTGGTCAAACGCGTAAAAACAAATTTAATGAGTACAAACCAAATCTTAAAAATATTTTAAGTAAGGGATAAAGTACAAGGGAGGGAGGGGGACTAAACAAATTATTTCTGAACACAGGGATTCGGTTGAAAAATGTTTATGGCAACTGCCTCATCAGTGCTTAACAACCGAAGACGTACCAACCTAGGAAGTTAAGGTGACACCTTGTAAAGTTTTGTAAAAGCTGAATTTCTGCCAACCTTGTGCTCCGTATCCACTAGATGTATCAGCCAATACGGAACTTCTGATTGACTGTACGACTTCCCTGCCTAGCCATGTTAGATAATGTTCCAGAAAACGATGGTGGGCTTGCCGAGTAGTTCTACCTATATGACTGTATCCATATGAAAGAATTTACAAGCCCACCGCCGCCTTCTGAAGCATTGTGACAATAGTTATTTTCCCTCTATCCCAACTAGTATACACAATCACAGAAGTTTAAATCCATTAGCAGAATCCTAACATACTGAGTATCCGCGATTCGACCAGTGGTGTAACTTTCGGTGTCTAATGTCGAGGAGTTTCGAACGAGGACAAATCGACTATCCGTCGATTTCCACAGTGAAAACATTTCTTTAGTCAGGATGCTAAATGTCCACTGAAACACCTGTCCAAGTATAACTAAATATGCATTTCAAACATTTATATTGCAGCTGGATGCCCTCTACTAGAATTGTCCATATTTGCAGATGAAAACACTTTGTTTACTCCCACCTACCTTGGAAACTCCTTGTCAGTAGTTACTGGTGACTTCAATTCCTGCGACTACAGTTTTCTTTCATCATCAATAGGTCATGAAAATATTGTCAACTATTCAACAGGACTAGAAAGTACTTTTGGTTTAGTATTCATAAATGACTTTGGTATGCTTGAAGTTCGGTAAAGAGTTACATTACTTAATTGGGATAATTATGTTGTAAGAATACTTGCTAAAATATACGAAAAGCTTCACTATAGGGCTTTCATGGACTTTGGCAAGAAAACACAACATAGATGTTATTCTCATGACAGCATACAGAATCTTAGGAGCTTGTTTGGACGCAGAATTCTTAACAAGGCAGGAATAAAGTGGCATTCAAACCTTCAAACTCAATTAGAAACAAGCAACGTCGGTTAAAGGATCAATCCTGTGGAGCCTTTAAAACAAAACAATTTAGTTTATCGAATACCCTGCTTGAATGATTGTCAGGTGAAATACATAGGTCAAAAGAGTAGAACAGGGACAGTCAGACTAGCTGAGCATAAAAAGCTAGCAGAAAAATCTAGATTAGTTGACCCGAATAAGATAAGAGATCTGGAGAATAGATCAGCTATAGCACTACATGCAATTACACACAACCATACAATACGACGGGATGAGATGAGATGACAGATTTAAGATCTAATGTCACAGGGTGGAGGGAGAGATTGACAACTAAAGCTTTGTTTATCGAATCGACTGCAAATACGTGTAATAGGAATGACTCAACACCTGTTCCAGACATCTGGAAAATTCTACTACAGCTACAACAAATAGGTGGTAACAAAAAAATATCAAACTCAAGTTTCGAAGTCGTGTGATTATAACTGATGATATGATTATGAACAATAAATATATTGTGATAGAAACTTTGTCATCCAGTAAATAATACTGTTTCATCACTGTGTGATCCGTCTAATAAACAAACTAATATGGAATTACTTACTATCACAGTGCCCAATTTCTACAAATATATATTTCTGAGATTTGACCGTTTTACGTACCTAGAATGGTGGCCACATTGCAAACCAGACCCATAGAATTCCGTCTGCATCAAAGAGAGGACTATACATATCACACTAGTTACAAGTGTCCACTCAAAAAACTACTCCTTATCAACCAACTATAGAAGAGTAGTTATTACTGTCATTTAGTACTTTGCACATTTTGGACATTATTCCTACAGTAAATGTGGAAGTATTCCTTTGGTTTAGTTTTGTGTACATTTTGAGTAAATTAGATGAAATATTGTGACAGATGCTGAAATTTCAATATTGTATTATGAGTACTGTTTTCTGGAATAAAGCAGATCATTACTATTGTTATTATTATGATACCTTCAGACAGTCAGCTCATCGTTTCTCATTCGGGTATCAGTCAAGAGCCTGACATGTGATTTATAGACATATCAACGGTAAATATTATACTCTGGACACCAGAGTCAAACTAAAATGATCAAAGTCGTTATGTTTATACAAACTTATTACTGGTATAAACCTGTGTAAACATTCATTCAGTAAATACTTAGGCTGGATGATATTAAATGGTTGGAAGCAAACAGCAGGGAGGAAGCCTTGTTTGACCTAGGTCTCGTGCTAGTTGCTACTCACCAGTAAACAAGGCGTATCTACAACCTCGAAGGAACTCATGTCCCTTCTGGGATTCGAACACGCGTCACCCAGTGAGTAGTGAAGTCAGAGACGTTACGACTGAGCTGTTCGGGCGTTCGATTGACCTCCTTTAGGAGATGGTATTAGGTAGATTGATTGGACACTAGTTAGTAACTAGTGTGATATGTCTAGTCTTTTGTTTGGTGCAGACTGAATTCTATCAGTTAGGTTTGTAATGTGGCCACCATTCTAGGTAGCTCGCCATCACGGTACACATTGATTTGATGATATTCGATGGTTTGAGGCACGGTGACGGTGAGCTACCCAAAAATGGTGGACACATTGCAAACTTGACTGTTAGAAGTGCGTCGGCATCAAACATAGGACTAGACACATTACACTAGTTACTATTTTTCCAATCGAAGTCTTTAGTACAGTCCTACAGGAGGTTAATCGTGGGCCCGAATAGCTCAGTGGTAACCTCTTTGACCGCAGCACTGTGTGAGGTGGGTTCGAATCTCAGACGGAGGACATGAATTCCTTCAAGGATGTAAATACGCCTTGGTGACTGGTGAGTGTCAACTAGCACTAGACCTAGGTCGAACAAGGCTTCCTTCCTGACGATTGCCTCCAGCCATCTAATACCATAAAATGAATTCTCATTCTGCAGAGTACTTCATTAGTTGTGATCTGAATTTCTGTGATGATGGAATTTCTCCAAGTTAAATAGTTTGAGTTTACGCGAAGAATTTTAAACAACTACTGACCTAACAAATTCTGAAATTTCTATATCGACACAGTTCTTCATCGATTATGTGAGTTTTGATGTTGTTTAGAATACGAATTTGTTTGGTTCCTTTCAAAATTTCCAGGATAGCAAATTAACTAACAGCCATCGATGTGATAACCTTTCAAATATTTACCTGTCATTAATTGCTTGATAAAGTCTTTGGTCTGGGTTTGAATTTCAGAGATAACAGATAGAAGTCACTCACTCTGGGATGCAAAAAGCACCTACTGAATGACACTTATCAGGGAGGAAATGTAAGTTGTGGATTTTACATTTGTACCATTATACTTTCATCTGGAAGAGGGTTGATAATGCTGTCAAGTACATTTGAGCTTGTATGGATGTTACAATTCTGACAATATGTCGAAGTTCACCTTTATTGGCTTAGCTGATCATCAGTCATAAACAATTTAATGAAGATGTGTGTGAGTTATGGAAGGTCAAAGCAAAGTACATTAGGATTATAAATATGTGAATGAATAATACTATAATCTGATAGCATATAGAATAAATACAATGAGACACCTACCAGTGTGGTTAAATAAAGTTATGGTTAAAAATCATCACCAGTTCCTAACTGAATTATCTTATCAAAACATGCCATAAACCTACCAATGAAGAGTTTGACTGGTGAGTGACCAGCTAGCACGAAACGTACGCTCAGAGCTTCCTGTCAGTTGCATCCAACAAGCTAATAATGATGTCTGTTTTAGTCCTACAATGTGATAATCTTTCAGATACGCCTGTTCTTATTTTTCGCTAGCAACATTCCTTGATTGATAGAAGGTTTCATGTTTGATCATGTATTGACTGATTGGATTTACTAAGGAAAATGAAAATGATGAAAAGTTCCATTTCCTTGACATTTCCACGCAACGCCTAAAAGATGGTTGTCTCCAGAGGTGAATTTACCGAAAGCTGACATGGAATGCATAATTTTTTTCCTTCATGTTCCCCAGTGGAACATAGAGCTACAAGCTTGTGGCTTGAAGTTTCTGTAGCAGTGCTTATTTTACAGGATGGGGTTGCCAGCCTCATGCCCAACCTTTCCTCTTCACCAGCATTATTTCTGGCTTAGCGAGGTAGAAGAGTGCGTCGGCCGGGGATCGAACTCCGGACCATGTGCATGGTTGGCGAGCGTCCTAACCGCTATACCACCGACTCACTGGAATACGTAATACTTAAATTTTAATAGTTTTTGTCTAAATACCTATAAGCGAGCACTATTAAGGACTCTGTACTGCAGAGGGGGGAGAATATGCTCTACAAAGAAACTAGAGGAAGAATTTATGTTTCTCGAAAAGGTGCTGAAAAACAACGGTTTTCCTCAAAGATTCATTAAAAAATATGGAGGATGTGAAGGCTCAAATACCAATCAAATAACAGTTGAAAAGAGCCTGTCTTCATTCAACTAGATTTCAAAGGTGATAACATTGCAGCAATGGTCAGCAGAAGACTGAGAAAGTCACTAGCCAGAGCCTATCCTGCAGCTTAGTTGGTTCCCGTCCATTGGACAACATGCTCTTTGGTGCAGTCAAAAGTCGACAGATACACTTCTCATGTTAACTCCAACTGTGTCTAGAAATTTATGTGTATCTGTGGGAGCAGTTACACTGGGAGAACAGTAAGAAAGGCACACCTCCGATTTTCTGAACATTTTCCGAAACATCTAGGTCCCAAGCGCGATTACCAGATACCTCCTGGATATGCGTCATGAGGTGGAAATCGCGAAATCCTTCAAAATTCTCAATAGACAAAGAAGCTGGATTCTCCTCAATTTCGCCGAAGGAATTTCTATCAAACGCTTGAAACCAGATTTATGTGTTCAGAAAGAAGCAGTTAGCTGTCTTTCCTTGACCTGGTAAATGGATGTCTTTATTCTCTGATCTGATTACGTATTCTCTGGCTTTAACCTCAATCCCCTTTTATAATTTGTAGTTTTGCTTGTCTCTTGTCTCAATGATTTGTGTTGGACTCAGTTCTTTGTTACCTAATTTATTAGTCACTCAGCATCTTACGCCTCTCTCGTTTTTTGGAGTAACTCCTTTACTATTGTATGCCTACATTTATTTTGTTTAAACTTGATTTGCCTGTGCAGAAACTATATAAGCGCAATTTTCTGAGCACTGTTCACTAACTGTGCAACCTTCTGTCAACTGACACCATGAAGAAAAAAATTTGCAAGTATGTTAAAATTTTTTTTGTACATAAACCTAATAATTTATTAAGGCTGTAAGCAGCTGATGAGATTCTAACGAAATAAATGATGGTAACATCTTCTTATTCTGCACAAACCACCACTGTTGTTCTTGCTTTATTCAAATTCATCAAAGGGAATAAATGCATGAAGAACTAAATTCAGTTTGAAGACCATTGAAAACCGGGTAGTACTGAAGGGCTTCTTAGTCCTACTTTATGAACCTTCTGCAAAACACACTGATGATCCCAGCAAGTATGGGAACAAGGACCTCTAGTCTACAAGGAGGTCAGGTTACTTGAAGTTAGGTATGAGTGGAAGTACTCACCGAGAACATTGCTCGGCAGTCACGCTTTATATCACCAGTCGGGGAAAGATAGAATTTATTGGCCGTTGGATTTCGTCTCAACAAACTCTCCTTGTTACCTAATGGTCTGCGGTTACATTCCTGTCATATACAAAGACTAAGCAGCTGTCCAGTACTCCATGGATTTCAGTGGATCCATAACTGAGGTAACTTTAGATCTCTGTAAACAGATACTTGGAAAATAACAGAAGACTTTTTTGTGCGTACACGTCTGTGAAGTCATCCTGTGGTCTACTCTTGTATTCATATAGTTAGAGTGAAATTCAGAGATTCAGACAAACCAGGGCAATGTAAGGGGAGAGTTTATACACGTATCGCAGCCTGAATAACTCAGTGCCTCCCATAAATGGGTGATAAAGATTTCGGAAACAGGAGGGGAGAGAAAATCTTATTGAACGTGGATAACAAATAATGTAAGACAACGAGACTTACCTGAGACAAAATATCAGTTGTAAATCTCACTGCTAGATATCATATCATATCACTACATTTATGCTTGTATAAAGAATAGAGTAAACAGTATTACCATGCATACTTGTGCTTGTGTGCATTGTTGTGATTCTGAAATTAAGGTGAAAATTTTGTAGTGCACTTTTATTCTCTGAAATTATTATCAATCATAAATCATAAATCCACTTCTACTGGTTGAATTTCGCATAAATCACAAATTATTTTAAAGAAAGAACAAGGTTTAAGTGACTAGTTGTGAGAGCAAAGTACAATAGGTATATGAGCAAATAAGTGAATAGTTAGTTGATTTTATTCGGACAAAACCAAATATTGTAATCTGATAGCATGAAGTGAAATAAAATGAAATCTGATCATGTCAAGACAACAGACAACTCTCTGAGTTATTTGTTCCTTGTAATAAAAACACCAGGAGAGAGAGAACAGATAACTATTAAAATTATGTTACTTGTAGTAAAAACCCCAGGAATAATAATAATAACAATTTGCTTTATTCCAGAAACAGTACTAGTGGTGCAGTGTGGAATTTTCAGCACAATATCTACAATATTTGCATCTAATGTTACAAACATTTAGATGGAGTATTTCAAAAAAAATCTAAAGACACCAAAAGCAAAAAAAAAAGGATAAACACAAAAAAAATTATAAATGCGAAAAGATACCAAGAAGTAGAAAGGAAAATAAACATCATATAATAATAACTCAGTTTCGGGTAGTGGAAACCTCGCCTAGATTACTAGGTCACTAGTATTCTAGCCAGTCCCAAGCCCGGACAAAGAGGGAGGGTTGGGGCGTGGTGCTAGCAACTCCACCCCCAAAACTTAACCAAATTGCTACTAAAACTTCAACGCACAAATATATTCAAAATTCTAAAATTACAAATAGTGACCTTATTTCTCGCTGGAATCGGGGAAGTGAAATGACGCAGGCTGGTGAAAGCCTTCGGGAAGCCAGTCAGCCGATGTGCCTTCTTTCGATGAAAGCGAAAATAAGGATGGGGACGTGGAATGTTCGTACAATGTACGAAGCTGGGAAGGCTGCTCAGGTAGCCGCAGAAATGAGGAGATATAGAATAGAAGTGTTGGGAATCTGCGAGAGCAGATGGAACGGATGTGGAAGGAGCCAACTATCAACTGGAGAGACAATAATCTACTCCGGTCACCCAGAGGACAATCACGAGCACACCGAGGGAGTAGCCATCATGATGTCACCAACAGCGGCTAAAGCTCTCATGCAGTGGGAAACAATCTCCTCCAGGATAATGACAGCCAGGTTCAACTCAAAAGGAAAGAAGGTTACAATCATTCAGTGCTACGCGCCTACAAACGTCTCAGAACATGAGAAGAAGGAGGATTTCTACAGTCAACTACAAACAGTAATGGACAACGTCCCAAAGAGCGATATCAAAATCCTGATGGGCGACATGAATGCGAAACTGGGAGGAGACAATACAGGAAGAGAACTCACCATGGGTCGTGAGGCCCTCGGTGAAATGAACGAAAATGGTGAACTCTTCTCAGACTTCTGCGCCTTCAATGATTTGGTGACTGGTGGCAGTGTGCTCAAACACAGAGATATACACAAGGCAACATGGATTTCACCAGATGGACACACCAAAAACCAGATAGACTTCATTTCAATCTCAAGGAAGTGGAGACGGAGCCTACTGGACACAAGAGCGAGGAGAGGAGCAGATGTGGGTTCAGACCACTATCTGGTACAAGGGACTTTCAAGGTGAAGCTGAAAGCCTCGAGGATACCTGGGGATAGGCCACAATGCAAGTTCAACACTCACAAACTGAAGGACACAATCACACAGGACATTTTCACTGCATCTGTCAGAGCAAAGCAGGAAACACTACGTGGCACCACTGAGGAATCATCCGTGGAAGACCATTGGAACTCTCTGAAGGTAATTTTCAACGAAACGTGCTCAACGGTTTTAGGAAGAAAGAAGAAACAAGACAAGGAATGGCTCTCAACAGA